TTATTCTTTACGCTTCGTCTTCATATTCTTTGTTTACTTTTCACAGAAAATAACATGCCAAAATTACAAACGTTGCCCAGAAAATTACTCTTTTCGCATTCTTTTTCTTGCTGATAATTCTCTGCTAGAAAAGAAAAGAAACAAAGCCTTTGTTTTGTGGAATGCATCCCTGCAGCTGCTTCTACCATACATCTGGCAATACCTTGGCTGATTAAAATCTCTCTTTGTTGTTGTTGGAAGTTGTTATTCTGGCTTTTATTTGTTGTTTATTCTATTATTTTCTTTGTCGGCTTACTTTTATGAAGGTTTTTCTGTAAAGCGGTGAGGAAATTGGCAAGGAAAAATAGCAAAGTAGATAAAATAATTAAATTAGTGCAAATCTTTAACAAAGAACTCCGTACGAAAGTATTACTTATTGTTGCGAAATTCATCGCTTCAATTTGAAAGTAATATTTTGTCAATTGAACAGGCGCAGGGGAAAATGTATTTACCATTGCTATACGTTTGTACGGGTGCTTTGAATGTCTTGCTGCTCAAGTGAGTTTTCCTATCACTGCGCAAATTGTGGCAGTCCTTTCTTATTTCAAGCTAAAAATTAAGGAATAATCTAACTGCCCTTTTTTAGGTGGAGTGACACTTTGGAAGGTGAATGTAGTGATGGAAAATTGCGTCGTTTTCAACATCCGCTGGTGCAAACAGCATTGATGTTCTTAGGAGAATTTCTTTGCTTCGTCATCTACAAAATTGCATATTTTTTTCTTCAACGACGCGGGGTGAGTGGACTAAAAAAATGCGCATAAAAATGCGATTGTATGGTCGTTGGTGATAAGCGCTGTTTGTTGCTTTCCACTTGATGCATTTTCTGTTCTTGGCTTTGTTTATGAACTGTAGAATGTTATTAAAATCATACAATTTCCAGACGGGTGCTGAAGGTGAAAATATACTAACACGGGGCGAAAGGGAATTTTCCCCGATTCACCTGTTGCTGCCGGCGGTATTGGATGCCATTGCTTCGGCTATGATGCTTACCGGCCTCTACTTAACTTATGTATCCAGCTTTCAGATGCTGAGGGGTGAGTAACATTTATGTAGTTTGAATAACGATAACAAAGGCTGACAACATAACAATCATATCGTGGTTTAAAGTACAAAATCGCGTATCAAGATATTGCAAACCCGCGTATGTGAGGTTGCATAAATTATTAGATAGTAAAAACACTCATATTTCAAATAGTTCTTTTTTATAAAGCAATCGCATTTCTGGTTAGTATATTTCAGGACGAATGGATAAGGAGCCACGAGCTTGTATGAGCAAATCCAATTTTTGGCAAAAAATGTCAGTTACCCGTTTTTCCAATTAAATTGCTGGTGAAACCGGCTGTAAGAAAAATTGCCCTTGAAACCGTAGACCCCAGTGTGAGTCCGCGAAAGTTAATGTGAAAATTCCAACTCCTGAAATTAAAAAAAAATTCCAATTGCAAACGTCAAAACAATATGCGCAATGTAGATTTTTTATAAACAGTTCATTAACCCATTTATTAAAAACTGCGGACTCATTTGGGACCCATAGTTTCTAGGGCAAATCTTCTTAGAATTTCCCGAAGATTACGTTTTGCTATACTTATCGTCATGCTTTTTTCTCCCGACTAATTTTACACACCCTAATGTACATATGTTCATATGTATAAATTAACATTTTTAAACATGATAATTTTCTTACTTCCAGTTGCTGCCCTCATATTCGTTGGTATATTCGGTGCCATTCACCTCAATCAAACGCTTACTGCACGCCATTGGATGGCTATGTTCACCATCAGCTGC